CCGCCCCCCATCGCCCCCCATCGCCGCTCACCAGGATGGGCACCCAGTAGTAGTTGAGCGTCGGCGCCGCGTCCTCCACCAGTTTGATGCGGTGTGTGAAGAAAAAGAAGGCGAGGACCCCTGGAAGGGAATCCCAGAGCTGGCAGCGGGGTGAGGGGCAGCAGAAGGGGGGGCTGGGGGGGGGGTCTCCCAGAAACGTGGGGTCTGGGGAGGGTCCTCCCCACCCAATGGGGGCTGGGACGGCTCCTCCTCAACCAACAAAGCCGAGGAAGGGTCCTGGACGACAACAGGGGTCTGGGGTGAGACTTCCCCACTGAGGGGATCTGGGGAGTCCCCTCCTCGATCAGGGGGGGTCGGGAAGCCCCCTCCCAACCAATGGGGGGTGGGAACGCTTGCGATGCCCCCCCAGCCCGAATGGCGTCCCGATGGCCCCCACGCACCAACGCCGCCCACGATGAGGAGTTTGCCGAGGAAGAGGAGGAAATCGGTGACTTTATCCAGCACGACGACCCTGCGGGGGGGAGGGAGGTGAGCGCCCACCCCCACCAGTGCCGGCTGCCCCCACGAGCCGCTTTTTTGGGGGTGGGGATTTTGGGGGTCGGGATTTTGGGGTCCTCACCGAATGATGTTCCTCATCAGCAGGGAGAAGGCGTTGCGGGCAGAGGTGCAGAAGTTGGTGCCATAAACAGCGATCTGTGGGGCAGAGGGGGGCGGAGGGGGGCGGAGGGGGGCACTCAGCCCGGAGCAGAGCGAAACCCTCCTCCAAAGGCAGCAGGAAAAGCCCCCAGCGCCCCGCTTCCCGTACCATGATGTAGGCGTTCCTGTTGAGGAACTTGAGGAACTTCTCCAGGCACCAGAAGCAGCACTTGAGGCAGCCCAGCAGCAGCTTGGCCACTTTGTTCTTGGTGCCTGCGGGGGGGGGGGGGGGGGGGGGGGCCCGCCCCCCCCCCCCCGGCGGCGCGCGGGCGGCCCCACCCCCCCCCCCCCCCCCCCCGCCCCCCCCGGCCGGACCCCCAGCGTCCGAGCCTGGAGGGGGGGGAGCAGCCCCACGGCCCCCAGCGGCAGCAATGGCAGCATCTGCAGCTCCATGGGAGCGGGGCTCTGCCGACCTGTGGGGCTGCCGGCTCTGGGATGCCTGCGGTCCCGCCGTCCGTCCCCATAATAGACCCCAAACTCCTCCATCTGTCCCCACAGCGCCCCCGATCTTGTCCCTCTGTCCGTCCCCCATCAGACCCCAACGCTCGTCCCCGCAAAGACCCCAACTTCACCCCACTTTCCATCCCCCCCCACCTCACCCCATTGGCCCCCACGAAGACCCCAAACTCACCCCACTGCCCATCCTCACCCCATCCCACTGTCTGCCCCCACAGCCCCCATCCCTGTCCCTCTGTCCACCCCCCTGTCCCTCTGTCCGTCCCGCTGCACCTTTCAGCCTGTGGTCCAGGTACTCCAGGATGACGCGGATGAGCTGCACGATGGCGAGGATCAGCGCCCCGAAGGCGAGCGACCCGGTGTGGTACCTGCAGGGGGGGAGGGTGTCCGTCCGTCCATCCGTCCGTCCATGGGGGCAAGGGGGGGAAACTCCGTCAGTAACGGGGTGGGGGTGGAAAAATCCATTGTTGTGACGGAGGGGGGAGAAATGGGGGGAGAAGTGGGGAGATCCACCGGCAATGGGGGAGGAATGGGAGCCCCGTAATTAACGGGGGAGGAGCAGAAAATGTCTGAAAGTAACGAGGGAGAGATTGGGAACTGCATCAGCAATGGGGGGGATGGAAAAGTCCATTGGGGAGGGGTGGGAAACGTCCAAAAGTAATGGAAAATTCCATCAGCAATGGGTGAGAAGTGGAAAAAACCCACAATTAATGGGGAGAGGTGAGAAGCGTCCAAAGGTAACGGCTGAGAGATGGGCAGCATCCAGCAGCGATGGGGGAGAGGGGGAAAGGGCCAAAAGTCACTGGGTTGGGGTTGGAGACCTGCAGCAGGGATGGGAGGGGAGGGGATGGGGGGGATCAATGGAGATGGGGTGAGATGGGATGGGATGGGGATCTTGAGCAGGGATGGGACGGAGATGAGGATGGAGATGGGATGGGACGGAGACGGGGCTGTGCACAGAGATGGGCTGGGATGCAAGGAGCCCCGCTGTCCCTGCAGGACGCACCTGAGCGCGCGGCCGAAGGAGGAGAAGAGGGGGAAGGCGGGGATGTCGTGGGGCTTCTTGAAGGCCCAGTAATAGGAGGCGAAGGCGCCCGCCAGCGTCACCTGGCCCAGCGCGATGGCGAAGTTGGCGAGCCAGAAGAGCATGAAGAGGTTGAAGAGCTGCAGCGCCGTCAGCGAGCGGTGGAACGGCGACTCGCCGCCGTAGAACGCAAAGAGGCACTGGGAGCCGGGGCACTGCGCCGCCGCGCCGCTCGCGTTGAACGTCTGCGGGCAGAGGGGGGTGGGCAGCCACAGCGGCACCGACAGCACCGAAACGCCTCGGAACCAGCAGTGATGGCACCAAAACGCCTCAGAACCAGCAGTGATGGCACCAAAACGCCTTGGAACCAGCAGTGATGGCACCAAAATGCCACAAACCAGCAGTGATGGCACCAAAACGCCTTGGAAGCAGCAGTGATGGCACCAAAACGCCTTGGAAGCAGCAGTGATGGCACCAAAACGCCTCGGAACCAGCAGTGATGGCACCAAAACGCCACAAACCAGCAGTGATGGCACCAAAACGCC